TTAGCAATACATCTCAACTTTGTTCTATTCTCTGCCGTCATCTTCAACCGCATCCACGATTGACCATAATCTCTCACCTCCTCCTCCAACTCACACGATCTCCTCCACATCACCCTTTCACCGATCACCCACTCGTCACTTCCAATTGGGATTTCACTCGAGAGCCTTACGCGCGATTTCATTCGACGGTCTCCCCAATGTATAGTCCGGCCCATTTCCATTTTCTCTTACATATTTGTTGAGTGATAGGCACTTGGTTGGTTTGTTCCACTGCAGAGTTTCGTGCTGCTAATTCTCTCTGGCCGGCCGACCATTTGATCTTCAGTGTGGAGCTAGCCAGTGAAGGCAGCTGTTGATGAATATCTGAAGCAACCTGTTGGAAATCCTTTTTGTGACTGACACGCATTGCATGTTGCAGACCCACATAGAAGAATTAACTGACTTAATATTTGTGTTGAAAATCCTAATCTTTTTTTACTCTGGTTGAGTGCAGATTTCAAAAGTGTTTTCAGGTTGATGAAGGCGTATCTTGCTTGTCTTCTCGATTCTGGCTGGCTGGTTTTGACATCTTCATCTGTTCTGACTGCCTGTGGTTGAAACGGTGAAGGAAGGAAGCAACCTCTATCAAATCTCTGCCGTTGATGGTGGGTGATTGGTGCTGATTTTTGTTTTTGTTGTTGGTTGGCTGGTTATCTTCATCACCTTCGTCTTCTCTATGTCCACTTGGAGTCCTGTCTTAGCTGCCTGCCAGGCTCTTCCGCCAGTTTGTTGCTTTTCGCCCGTAAGTCTTCAAGTTTATGTGACATTAAACATAAACATTATTATCCAACCGCGAAATCCAGATCTTTAGAGTCTTCTTATTGGTCGTCCAGCCTATTCCTGTCTTCTCGCCCCCCCACATCCTGACGCATAATCCAGTCCACCACAATTAAGAATAACATCGGTGATAATAAACAACCCTGTCTTACTCATGTGTTCACTTCGAACGCCTCGTTGAGTTTTCCATTTTGGATCGCCTGACACGTGATGTTATCATGTGGCCAGCTACTGAATAAGGTTGATAAAGACTTGGGTCACTGAACGCCACAGTGTTGAGGCAATTTCCAAATTAATTTTCAGTAAACGCTGTCTGTCGAAGGCCTTTTCGAAGTCGATGAAGTTAAGGTACGGGTTTGACTGCTATAAAATCAAATTTACAATTTGCAAACTAATTAACAATGTACACAGTTCGATTGATGAAATTTTCACCATAGTTTTCTTTGGAAAGCAGTTATTCCGATAACAGTAGGTGATCTGCTTGATACCATAAATGGTAATCAAGGAAAGTAAACATATTTGCACAGAACTATACACTACTGATTGACTGAGATGAGTAGTTGTGTGCTACTCATATCAGGTGGTTTGGATTGATTCGGTTCTCTGAGTTGGGCCAAACCAGTTAAACCGCTGATTAGCTCGGCCCCAAACAAGGAAAATAGCCGTCCGGTGTTAGGATCACGTTGATCTGTCTAGCAATTACTACTGGTTTATATAAGTGGTGTGCAACTACTCACTTCAGTCAATCAGTAATATACGATTTCATGCAAATTTGTGAATATTAAGGTAGAATATATTTGTTCAGTCATGTTTGAGTTGGTTCCGACTATAAGAAATGATTACGTGTACTTATGTGGTTGGTGATAGAGTCAATAACAGTGAAAAAGACTAGGGTTTTTAGTACAACGTAAACCAAAGGCTTTCAAAATACTTACCCAGAAGTCCTCTTACAAGGTTTCGAATAGAACTTTTGACCAGAAACACCTTTAATGTAATCGTTACTGGGTTCAACATAGAATAATTAACCAAGATCACTTCATAAAGACTAAAATGGAATCACTTAACCATCCTTCCTACTTCATTTTTGGTCGGGATTTCAACGGAAATACATGGTGCAATAATCAAGGAAATTTCGCTCAAGACTAATTTATATGATCGGCCGTAAGGAGTAAAAAAAAACCTAAATCATCTAACCATCTATACATGTCCATGAGAGCAGAACTGATTATGATTATGCGATCAAATTATGGCACACTGGAGAATCGTTTCTTTAGTATTCTGGTTAATGTTTCATCAAAAGTAAAAACAATTGTTCAGTAAGTCGCTACAATCTAACGCTTAAATCTGTCAAGCTTTACAAAGAGCATAAAAACAATCGGAATAATTCATGTACAGCTTTATTAGTGCTTCAAAAGTCTTTCGCAAACTTATTTTCTTATAAACATGTGAATATGCACAAATTCAAATGAGGTTAGTCACTATAATGATAACTGGTTCTCCGTAATAATTGAAGCCTGTTGAATAAATTTACGATTTGGCCGTTAAGTGGAACGATACGCTCTATTGTAACTGATTTGAACTGCTTTTTCTTGATTCAAACATTTGTTCTGTGGTTCATGGTGCAGACTCTTCAATGGTACTCGAACATGGATTGGTTGATGGCCTCTAACAGTGGGATGCAGGTGCTTTTTAATTCATGAGTAATTCTCATCCAAGCATTGCTGAAACAAGACGTGTATTTAAGAGAATACTATCTGTGAGAAGTGGAATATCTGAACACCTTTTTGACACTTGCCACCTTATCTCAACAAGCTCCTTCTACAAAGTGAAAAGTAACCTGCCTAAGACGATCCTGTTTCCCTTCCTTTGCATTGCGAAAGCTACAGCCATCTAGAAGGAGAAACCAGAGCTTTGCTCACAAAATAAAAGCGTTCATCCACTCTCATTATCATGAGAGGGACCCTGCTGTTTTCAACCTTGCTGTCTTACTTATTTCATTTCTCTGATCTATTCTGATACATCTATTCTCCCACATTTTTAAGTAACATAAAATTTACTTTGTTTCTATGTGAAACCTCATTAAAACTCAATTATAAAGAAACTATACGCTGAACTACTTGTCTTATTTCCATGAAAACAGATATCTCCGACCGACGAGGCCTAAATATGACAAAACACTCATCTCGGAATCCACTATCAGCCACCATCATTGAAGCGATATGACAATTTGGTGTATTTTATCATTATTAGTATGCATCATCTATTAATCTCTCACACCTTAACAATGACTACCGAGACAAAAACTGTGAGTCAGTGAACATATTCGATTTTAAATTCAGACATTATCCTAAAATTATATTATGATAAAAGTAATTGTAATAAGACAGATGATAAGAGAGGAAACCCTTATATACTTAGGAGTTGTTCACTTCCAGAATGGCAACTATGAAAACCAGAGTATTACCAGACTTGGAATTGATACATCTTTCACTGTGACCTCAGTAAGCGAAATGAAATTCTTTATAATGCAGTTGGAATGAAATTAAGCACCTCAAACATGAATAAAGGAGGTTTCCATCAGATGTTTCAGACAACATCATGTAGCACTACTAAATCCAGAGAAACAAATTGTACTGATTATACTGCAAGCTCTGTAAATCATAAATGCTTCATTAAAGTAATGGAAGAGCAAAATTGAGATATCAGTACTTCTTTGGAGGATTTCATTATGAGCTGACATCAGTTAGAGAATCATTGGAAGATCAGCTAGGAGTACTGGACAGCTGTTTCGTCTGTGTTTGGGACTCTTTATCAGTACGCATCCGCCGCCAGGGTTAAAACCCAGGACCTTCTGGTTACAAGGCTAGCGAGCTCGTAGACCATTAAGCCACTGGGACGTGGTCCACTGACCAGCCCATGAATTTCAACTTCTGTCAATTCGTGACATCGCGCGACCACTTCGAGATGCCTTCTTTTATGAGTTACTGTCTCATTTTCAACCTGCTGCACCCTACTGGTCGCGGCTTCCCACTAGAACCCCAGGTCACTTAACAGAATAAACCGAGTTTTAAGTTCAAACCTTTGCGTTCCGAGTAGAGCATAGGGTTTCAAGCATGAGCTTTGAATTTTTCAACAGTGGTGATTTTCCTCTCTTTACAGGATTGGCTCGCTAACCTTAGGCTTAACTTCCTCTCTTTACTGGAACTTCCATCGACTAGTAAACTAGGCGAGATGTAGGAATCCTTCTGCTGGAGGATCAAAACTCGAGTCATATGCATGGTTGGCGAACATTCTATTTAGCTATGAGAAAGCTTGATCAAAGTGTAAATTAGTTTCTTTGCTTATAATCCAACCAGTCTTCACAGATTACAAGTATCCCCTTTACAGCCAGTCTTGATTTTCAAGAGTTTTTTATGGGAATTTGGTTTTTTACAAGTTTCATCACGCACTGATATCAATTAAAGTATCATTGAAAACCAGGGGGCAATTGACAGCTGTTTCCTCCAAGTCTAGGACTCATCATCAGTTTTGATATCAATCTTTGATCAAAATTGAAATTTGGATTTCCTTTACACTGTGGCGTCAATAACAAAAGCTTCTTTTCTCATACAGCTTAACGTTTTAATTGTTTATTATAAATTAACAACTTTCTTACAATAACTGATAAGTTAACAAAATTAAGTTTATGCGAGAAAAAAATGAGAAAAGAAGAGGAGACAAGGAAGGGAATGTAAGATGGATTTCAACCTGTTTACAATTGATGATATTTACAATTCTGAATTTTTTTTTTAAAAAATGCCGATTAAAGGTTGATCATGTTCATAGATAACTTGAAAAGAAACTATACAAATGAGTATACAATTAGACAGTGACTGATGAAATAATTGTTCCTTTATTCATGAAAAGAAAGCAAATGCATGATTACTGATGAAGACTTTTCAGGAAAGTGAAATAAAATTTGTAAATAAGTGAAATTACTTAAACTATCACTTAAGATAGATAATGTTAAAGTTGTATAATCATATGTATATTAAATATAAATAAGCATTTGCTATCTATGTACAATTAATTTATCAATCCAACTAATTACTGTTCTTGGTCAGTTCATAGTGATGATCTTTAGTTAATTCACTGAGCTGTATTCATTAGTAAATAGAAGGCTTTGTATTGACTTTATATTAGTTTTATTCACGATGAGTAATATACTGTTTAGATACTTTGGGAGCAACTAACGAATTGATGCCGAATATAAGTTGTTTATTCACTTCATGAGATGCTAGAGATATCAATAGAGGAAAGAAAAGAAAAATAGTGAAATCATACTGTTAAGTTAACGTAAGCTAAAAGTTAAACGTAGGTAATACTTAGGTTAAATGTGTCATGAATGACCATTTTAAGAATCCCATATGTAGAATAATTGAAAGCAAAGTAGCTGGATGTCAATAAATCCCTTTTAATGCAACCTGAAAGCCTGAAGTTCGACTCTGAAAGTGGGCAAAGAGATGCATCGTTTAGAAGCATTGAAGTTGAAGGAGACATGATTGATGATTACTAGTCATCACTGGTCAGTGCATGATGCTATCATAAAACACTCCTTCTAACTAGATTCAGTATGTTACTAAATAGAGGAGTATTGACGTTTAGAGGAGTGGTATGGTTGACAGTGAGCTGAATATCCATTAAATATTAAGGAAACAAAAGTTTGAGAAAGTGTCCGTGTGTATCCAAAGCAATTGCTTAACTCTAACTTTTATTTCAATACATAATTCTCAAGAATTAGTTTGTAGGAATTCTGTTTGTTTGAGGTTAGACTAGAGATTAATATCAGTCAGAGAACCATTGAAAACCAGCACAGGAGTACCAGACAGCTGTTCCGTCCTAGTTCGGGGCTCTTCATCAGTACGCACCCACTGGGTTTCGAATCCAGGACCTTCTGGTTACAAGGCAAGCTTGTATACCATCGATGACATGGGTTGGTGGTAGAAGTTAGAATTCATGGACCGTTGCATTGGGTCCCAGTGGCTTAATGGTCTACGGGTATGTATCACCTATGAGTCCCAGAATGGGATGAAACAGCTGTCTAGTACTCCCTGATTTCCAGTAGTTCTCTAACTGAATACACAACCTTTGGCTGTAATCTCTGCGATTTCTATTAAATGAGTTGAATTTAAAGTGATATATGTGTGTAAATCCAGGGCACTGTAGTGGTGTATAATTCCATATAAATTCATGTGTTGGATATATCACACAGTAAGGTAAGGTAAGTACTGTTGTTATGGTAAGTATTATGATTAGGGTGTTTTATTATTATCTATACTTTTCTTCAAAATAAATACTCGGGAGGGGAGCATTTCTTTGTTCATATAAATGAAACCGTTTCGATGGGTATGAAACTTACTAACTGATACCCTCCAACGTAATCGGGAAGTATTTTTTTAGTTACTTCAGAGGAAAAGTATCGTCTTTGATGTGTTTCACTATTATTCTGTAGAGTATTTTTCTCGTAAATAAACGGCTTTCTGATGAAGAATACACGGTAGGTCCTGTAATCCAACGAATAACATGTATTTAAAGTCATTGGTGTGTTCGCACTCCATAGTCGCAGTTCTCTATGTTTGCTCTTACATGTTATCAGCAATATTTTCTAAACACTTCAAATTTAGTACACTAAAGTGAGATGCCATTCAGTAGTTAGTAAAATTTATGATCTTTTTTATAAAATCCAAATATTCCGACCTATTCGTTCGCGTAAATGTCTAAACAAGACCTAATTTTGCCATAAGTATGATTCAGCTGTCACAAAACAAATTCCTTTGATTCTCAAATGTTGCTTTGCAAGGATGTGATTGATTCCAAGTCTGATCACCACATGATATGCGTTAGAAAACCATTAAAAAGCAAGAAGTAATGGGCAGGTGTTTCGTCCTAGTTGTGGGCTCATCAGTGTGCATCCATGACCCCACCGGAGATCGAGCAGGTTACTAGGTGACGTCATTGACCATTCAGCTACTAATGCTCAATAGTGACTGACTAAAGGATGAAGTTACCTGAAGTTCTGGTGAAAAGTCATAACCAATGAGGTCCATCAAGTCGAAAGAGAGGACAGATATTCACCAGCGACGTCTGGCAGTAGCTTTATGAATCGCGGATTGACAGAACTTAGAATGGATAAGTTGCTGGATTCCATCCCAGTGGTTGAACGATCAACGTGCCGTGATGTGATCTCAGATGAGGTCATCGATGCGTGCTATTGATGAGTCCAAAAAAGGAACCAAATAGCTGTCTAACACTCCTTAGTTTTCAGTGGTTCTCTAACTGATATTACCTCGTGATCAAACTTGAAATTCTTTAAGTACCTATATAGTGGGGGATGATAGAAGGAGAAATGAAAACCTGAATCGCAGCAGCAATCGAACCAAGAGCCTCCAGATAACTAGCCTGACGCTCTACCAACTAAGCTATATGACCCAACTGCTAATCTCCCATCATCATCACACAATACATCAGTAACTGTCTGCAAAAGCAAGACTATCTCAGTCTCACCACCAATCGTTTAATTTGTCTAGAGATATTCATTTGTTTCTAACTGAACAATAATGTTTATCGTTAATGCTACAATTTAAAAACTTACATATTTCTTGATTTGAATCCGAAAGTTGTTTTACTGCCTTAATCGCAGAATTACTTTTCCAATCATTTACATTTGATGGATGAGGTTGCTCAACCTTAATTCTGGTTTTTTCTTCTGTCTTCGTTACTTCATTCATTTTAATTTGAAGTGATGACGATTTTAAAAGATTCCTTCTGAGAAATTGACTCATATAAAAACGTAATTCTGTTAAGTGTATTTGAAGGCTGCTCAATCGCTTGTTTAAACAGAACATGTTTGATGACATCTCCACATTCAGTTCATCTATAAGATAAAATAAAAGCGAGTTTATTACGTTGTTTATGAAGCAGAAAGTGCTTTGTCTTCAAACTTTTTACTTATCTTCGCACCAGCTGAAGTGACCTGTTTGGCGGTGTTCAAGAGTAGAATCCAGGATGAACGTTTTGACCCATCCGGGACGCTCCTCATTGAGTGATGGTGTTCTCAATGACAGTCTAATCCAGTACCCACCACTATGAATGCCAAAGTGTTATTCATTAATCAAGTGGGCCACTAGAACCACTTTTCTGTGCGACAGGTATAGAGTATCTTATTCGAGTCTTAGTAGGAAAACCATCACCCAGTGGGGAGCAGGTGCATCCGAGGGATGTTCTGAATTCTACTTTTAGCCACAACCAAACAAGTGATTCCCAATTATTAGTCCCGGTAATATCCAGGTACTGATTGAAGTAGCCCAAACACCAGAAATGAGGTTGGATGGATTCTGTCAAGTAACTAAAAAGGAAATCCCAAACACGAGTAATTTAGCATCGATTTCCTAGTATTTTTTAACTCAAGACAATTAACAGTTTCATAGAAGTCATCCCACTGAGTAACTTAAAATACAACAAAACCGACAAGAATGTAACTGAATAATATGAGCTATTTTTCTTGTTTCTCAGATTCTTTGTAACTGCTTGCAACTTTAACAGTACCATTATGTGTTTTAATTACAAAAACAAGGACTTGAACATACTTTTACCATAGTGACAATAACTTATTCATAAGTCTAATTATCAATAAGTCTAATCAATCTTTCCAACTATTAATAATTTAGCTACTTAAACCAATGGAGACTTATGATACCTATTATTCTCATCAATAACTTTTCGTCAGAGTGATGAAAGTTATACTGAGCTAGCGGTAGCTAAGTGTGAAACCGATGAATACCCTTTCTCCCTGTCTAATATTCACAAATCGGAAGTACTCGTATCCCCACTGAGTGGTTGCATTTCTACTGATATACGAACTAGCACTTATCTTTTCAAATGCCAAATGGCTATCCACAAAAACTGGGCATTTTAGTTCAGATTAACCAATCAAAAAGCTTTAAGTGATAAAAGCTTGTTCAAATATTTGTTTTTACAAATCTCATACTTTGGTGTTGTTTAGATTGCAGGCAATTGAAAATAATCCACAAAACAATAATAAAATTCAGCGTATATTATCCTCCTATAACTGATCTTGTTGCCTTGTTCAAAAACTTTATTTCGATATTTAGATTATGCAATTTGTGAGGACTTCGAATTAATTTCGGTTGATTTTTGTCACGAAATAGCATTAGTTATAGAGACCACTGAAAGCCAGAGAATACTAGTTTGGGACTCCTCATCAATGCGCACACACGACCTCGCCACGAATTGAACCCGCGGTCTTCAGGTTACGAGAACAAGCCAATTGACAATTCAGACATTCAGGGTGGAATCCAGTGACCCCCGAATTCTAACTCTGTCAAATCGTGATAAAGCGTTACTTTCAACGTGCTTGGTCCCGGGTTCGATCCCTGGAGTGGTCGTCAATACACAGTACTACACAGTTCAAGAATAGGATGAAAGAGCTGTCCACTGTCCCTTGGTTTTCAGTGATCTCTGTAACTGATATTGGTTCCTGACGGAAATCTAAAAATCCGAACTTTATTTAGTCCATATTTTATTTCTAGCAGAAATGTGAAGAATTGGTTAGACTTAAAAGTCAAGAAATATCATGAAAAGCTTATCCTTTAAATTCAAGTTTGTTGATCATCTTTACTGGACATAACCCAAGTGTTTTACCTTATTCTTTTTCCTTCACGTTCCCAAGTGGAACATAGGGCTTCAAGCTAGTGACTTGAAGTTTCGGTAGCAGTGTTTATTTTACAGGATGGTGTTGCTAGCCTCATGCCCAACCTTTCCTCTTCACCAGCATTATTTCTGGCTTAGTGAGGTAAAGGAGTGCGTCGTTCGGAAATAGAACCCCGGACCATGTGCATGGTCGGCGGGCGCCCTAACCCCTATGCCACCGACGCACGTTTTACCTTTTAGCATGGTATTAAGTACTATAAGTGAACTGAACAAGTGCACATGAGTACAGTCTTCAGGTAATTTCATTCATTTCACTCAAATATTTGAATAAAGAGTAATTAGTTGAAAAGAACGGAACTTTCCGCAAAGAGAATTTCCCTCTACACTTCTAGCAGAACATCACTCTGAATTCTGACTAATATTCACCGCAATCTTAATCATCTAATTAATATATCATACACCTTAACTTAATATCACAAGCGTATTATGTTTAAACAAGTTTTTAAGACACACGCAAAAGTATACTGTGAATATTTTATCAATTTAGTGAGGTTTTTTCCATTTGGAGTATCCATTTTGAAGTAATTTGGTGAAGGATGACTAGTAGTGGAATTCAGGATGTGCATTTCATTCGATTTGGGACTCGTCAGCTGGATGTACTTGCATTTCCCAGATGCTCATCCTGGATTCCACCGCTAGTCACCGTCCGCTAAATTACCTCAGGTTAAATCCTCAAACATCGTCGAAGCATCCGCTCAAGGAAACGATATATCAACAAAGGTTGAACATTTTGGTCCAATCGATAAACGGGAAAGTTCAATTTGAATTAAATAAAATGTTGTATTCGTCCCTGTCAAATTTCACTTGACATTACTATTAAATGATCAATATATCCTTAGGAAACCTTTGAACGTAAATATTTTATTTTTTTATTTTTTGATGATAACTTGATTCCACACAGTATTTTCGATACAAGTATGGAATTTTCCGCATGTGATATCATTAGTTCAAATTTGCAGGCCATCCATTGATATCAGGTGTGCGTCGTCAGGGGATCGAACTCCGGACCATGTGCATGGTCGGCGAGAGTCCCAACCACTGGTCCCAGGTTCGATCCCTGTAGGGGCCGTGAATGCGTACTGCCAAAGAGTCCAAAAATAGGACGAAACAGTCGCCCAGTCCCCCCTGGTTTTCAGTGAGAGTTTTAGGTTGAATGTATGCAAGCATGAAGGAACGACGATATATACTAGAGAGTGATTTACATGAGCAGTTGGATGCTATTCACATCAAGTAGTAGTGTTCAACAGTCAGAAAGAAACCATCTAGACACTAGACGGCTTTTTTTCTCGTCTAGAGCCAAATTCATTAACAGTGTACGCGGTACGACTGACCTCAAATAACTGAGTCAGTTGGAGTTGCGTATTCATTTTCAAACTGAGAATTTCTTTGAGTGGATGCAGGTTGTTATCAGGTAATTCAGGTGTATTTCAAGAAATGTGTCTAAATTTATAATTCACTTGTTATATGGTATATTTTAATGGCTCAGCAACGTGTTTTCTACCATCAGCTGTGTGCAAACTTATTACAACTCTTTTACATTCGCCTAACCATTAACACTAACAAACTATTTTACACAAGCAATCGACGAATGAGCATAGACCTTCGCACAGAAATACATCACGTCAGGTCTATCACACTATGAAAAGTCACACAAATGAAGAACAACAAAGGGCATGATACTATGACAAGCAAACATGAGTAAAACAGAGGAAATAATCAAACTAAATTAATAATAAATGCAACTAAGCACACATTTTTATTTGAACTCTGAATAGCCTCCTTTGAGGATAAGGTTTCCATATTCATTTTATCACTTAAAAGGTGGTAAAGTCTAATATCATCTAAAAGTACAAATTCACACTCCCCAAATGATTAAATCCTTAAATCATACCGATTAAGTTTGACGCAGTTGTGGAAATCTTTCGATATTTAGTAAGCGTAAGAATACTACTAGGTTGTTATACTATTAACTTTTTAAAAGGTAGCTTTTAGCGTTCGGAAATAACGTTGTAGGGCTACTGTCATGAGTTACCACCTAGTAAGAAGCCAGTTACCAGGATCCAGTTTCTTACGTATGAGCCATACACATATTATGTGAGAACTAGCGGTAGTACCCAGTTCCCCAGACTTAAACAGTAGGAGTGGATTCTGAACCCGATACTGACTGGCCCAGAGTTGAATGCTCACTCAAATGAGACGCACCTTCACATAAGTCACCCACTCGAAACAATCAATAGTCAGTGAGATTTAAACTCAGAGTGTATAATTTCTGAATTCTTTAAGTATTCATATTTTATGGATTGACATTTGCTTGTCTTGCGAATTAGATCATTTTTTACGGATCTATTCTTATTTAGCGTAAAGATTAAAAGGAACTCTTTCTAATGGTGACACCAAGGTGAAAATACACCCAAAAAGGTTCCATTTGTGGTATCTCCACTCCGATACCTCTTTTCCAGAGATACTGTCGAGCTGATCATGTATATTCAGTTCTAGTGACGCATCAATATCAAATTACACTTGGCCGGTAAAGTATTGGTCAATAATTGACTTTAATTTATCAAAGACGTTGTTTTACTTTATACTTACCAGAAATCTTACGACATGTTTTCCTGAATAATACATGTGCATTTTGTACTTTTCCAGAAAGAATAGCTGAATTCAATGGGATAAAACCAGATGGTAAATCTTCCGCAAGATTTATGTATACTATATGGCTACCTGAAATGAAGTAAAAGGTTGAATGATTGAATAACAAGTCATACATATATATATACTACTATATATATACTACTAATTGTTATAAGTAATTTTAAAACAGCTAGCCAAATAGAGGGATTCAAACCCTTTTGAACATATGGTACGTTTCTGGTCAAGCTTATCAATGAGTTGCTGAGACCAATTCAGTTCATATAGTGTCATCAGCGCAAATACCTGATTTTCGGCAAGCTACTTTGCTGTAAAAATATTTGACGCAATGTCGAACGAACTGTCTACAAAATCCACAACCAAAAATGAAAATTCACTCAAAAGTAAGATATCCTCGACTGACACTACTCTGGTGAGTTAAAGAAATCCGAATAAATCACTAAAGTTCTTGGTCCAGAATGAGCCCAGTGGTCCTACAATAGTATTTAGATATCATCGATCTGGTTAGAAGTAATACTGGTTGTTTTAAAAGGTTTCCAAGATCTCACTTACACCAGCAGTTTATTTTTTATAATTTGAATGTTTACCATTTCGACACATTTTGTGGTACTCAATACATCATATGCTGTGACTTGAATAAATCTAGTTTTCAGAAGAAACCAGGGTGGAATAGAAACATGAGAATGTGTTAGTTTTTCATATTTGCTTTGACAGATTGTTAGCAATTGATAAGAGTCTCACTCCTGTAAATCCACTGTAGCATTATGATGGTGGATGCATTGATAGTATGCAATATTACAGTAACTCTTATCCTGCATTACTGTTATTTCATTCACTAGAGAACAGCTGGAGACTGTAACATGAATATCGCTCTTTTAGTAGCATTATATTCCACTTTCGTAATTGATATTAAAGTACTATATATGTGACAGAAGCCGAAATTGTACAACACTTCACTCATACTTCAGATTTTTTAAAGCGCTGGTGTAACGAAATAATTGTGTGAAAAATCCCCCCTGAACTATCTAAGTCTTAATAATATTTGTAATTATCATCCTTTTTTCTCCTAGACAGTATGTCACCCACTCCTCTGACGTTTGCATATCCTACCTTGACTTGATCCTTATTATATATCTTTCTCGCTGTTTAACCTCTAATTTTAATGCTTCTCTTCGTGGTTGTACGACGATAATACTGATTATGCGTTGTTTTACGACTGTGACTCTGTTTGTGTGGGTGTTAGCCAAGATCAGAATGACATTGGACTGTCTTCGGGAATTGTTGGTATGTGATCACTGCTGATGGAGTTCTTGACCCAACCATGTTGGGAATATTCTATTTTTATTCTGAAGGTTTTTACTCGTTTTTTACTTAAGAACTAATTCGATCCGTATAGCTGCCTAACTGCATTGTGCAGGTAATTTTGCTTTTTGTTACGCTATTACTTTTAAATAGTACCACAGAATGTACTGCAAATAACTCTCTTGGTGCTGCTGTTGGGGCATTTTATGACTGTGAGCAACTCAAGGAAGTTTTGACCAGCTATACGGTAGAATGCAAAGGTCGGTTTCTTGCGTTGAAGTCACAACATGTCGGTTTTAGTCGCTACAGCTGGTCATTCTAACCAATATCCATTTTGATTCAAGGTTGGTCAGTGTCTCATAATACTTTTCAAGTAGTATCCGATAGTGTAAATCTTGAATTTGCAATGGAATCGGATTCTTCTAATATAGACTGATACGTTGCTTTGCTTGAAATCACCATACAGTTCCCTGATCTATACATAAAAAGCTTTGTAGTATTTACTTTTTGACCAAATAGCTATAAACAAGCACTAGTCAAAACTCTGTACTGTAGAGCGAGGAGAATATGCTCTGCAGAGAAACTAGAGGAAGAATTTGCGATTCTCGAAAAGGTGTTGAAAAACAACGGTTATCCTCAAAGATTCATTAACAAATATGGAAGATGTGAAGTCTCAAACATCAAACAAATCACAGATGGGAAAAAGCCTGTCTTCATTCAACTAGATTTTTAAGGTGAAAACATTGCAGAAATGGTCAACAGAAGACTGAGTACGTCACTAGCCAGAGCCTATACTGTAGCTAAGTTGGTTGCCGTCCGTCGAACAACATGCTCTTTGGTGCGGTCAAAAGTCGACAGATACCCTTCTCATGTTAACTCCAACTGTGTACACAAATTTACGTTTATCTGCAGGAGCAGTTACATTGGGAGAACAGAAAGAAGGGCATACCTCTGATTTTCTGAACATATGCCGAAAAGCCTACGTCTCAAGGGAACAAACTCTTATAATAGCGCTATTACCAGACATCTCCTTGATATGTGTCATGAGGTGGAAATCGCGAAATCCCTTAAAATTATCAATAGACAAAGGAGCTCGATTCTCCTCAAGTTTGCCGAGGCAATTTCTATCGGACGCTTGAAACGAGATTTATATGTTCAGAAAGAAGCAGTTATTAGTCTTTTCTTGCCCACCTGGTGCCTGGATGTCTTTATTCTCTCTTTCATTTGATTACGTAATATCTGTTTTTAAGCTCACCTCCCTTTTATAATCTGTAATTTTGCTTGTCACTTATTTCTATGATTTGAATTGAACTCAGTACATTGTTACTTAATTTATTAGTCACTCTGCATCTTACATATCTCTCGTCTTTATTACCTAACTCCTTTACCATTGTATGCTTACATTTATTTTGTTTAAACTTGAACTGTCTGTGTAAAAACTATATAAGAGTAATTTCCTGAGCACTGTTCACTAATCGCGGAACTTTCTGTGAATTGACATAATGGAGAAAAATTTGCAAGTATGTTAAAACTTTTCTGTACATCAACGTCATAATTTATTTAGGCTGTAAGCAGATGATGAGAGGCCAACGAAATAAGCAATGATGGTACCATATTATTCTGCACAAACCATTGTTGTTCTTGCTTTATTTACTTTCTGTAAAAACAGGATTTGATGTTTAAGACAAATCAATAAAACAGTATTTTACAAACAATAAGGAACAACTTACCCGCCTTTATTTTACTGGTGGTGCTTTCACTAAACATTTCATTGATAACTAATGAAGAATAATCTGGACAGTGTTCATTTATGATACTCTTTTCATGTATAATTATAATCCAATCAGATTGTAAGACAATTTCTTCAAGGTTATTTACACAGTGTAAGTTTAATACAGTATCCATACCATCAGGTAAACGTATATCAAATAAATGAATGGTATAATTGAATTTCTCTAGTCGACGTATTAATGCGAAACTTACTGAACCTGTATTAAAGCATAAAATGTCAAGTAGTGAATAGTAGTATGATAAGTTTAGAAGAAAAATAACGAATTACTTTGCATTATTCTTCTTCTTCATTGTTATTGGTAAGTGATAGTTCAAAAGGGGGATTTTATTCTACCATACTAAGCAGCAGATATATATTTTTTCTTCAGGTATTGGTTTTGTAGGGAGTTTGTTTGATTGCATGGAGGATTTCATCATGAGCTGACATCAGTTGGAGAACCACTGGGACCATGAGCTCGCCTTGTAACCAGAAGGTCCTGTGTTCGAACCCAGTTGGGGTGGGTGCGTACTGATGAAGAGTCCCAAACTAGGACAAAACAGCTGTCCAGTACTCCCTGAAGGTTTTCCAGTGGTTCTCTAAATGATGTCAGCTCATGATGAAATCCTCCATGCAATATACATATATGTATTAAGGAGCCGTGGCTTATGGGTTAAAACTCTCGATTCTGGACTATTGGGTCACGGGTTAAAAATACAGTCCACTTACCGAGATTTCAACAGCCGGATAGTATCCCCAGCCTTAAAACAATAGGTGGGACTCATTGACAGCTGCATAGAATTACAAGCAGTTGCTGAGTAACATTTCATTCATTTAATAAATATGATTTCAATTTTAACCGAATTCGCTTTCGATCATCACTTTGCGATCAAAACTGTAAGAATAAGTGGTTTTCCAATGGTTCTCTAACTGATGTCAGCTCATGATAAAATCCTCCAACCAATCAAACAAAATCCCTACGAAACCAATACGTGCACACTAGATTTATTTATTTTATTAGCTAATCATACATACTTCTTGCTTTTTTATAGCAACACCCGATTTGCGGCTAGTTAACAAAACGTGATCACACTCCACTGATTTCTCGATCCCACCAGATTTTCTGTTGCAAGGCATGACATATTGCTGAATGAAGAAGTTAGTGTTTTCAAATGAAATTGTAAGTGAAAGATGTGGAAAGACTGTAGATCATTATCCATAGATGTATTCAGCTAGTTGTTCACTTCAAATAGAGTAGTATGATAAGTAATGATGAAATTAACAGTACAAAGTCAGGTGAGAAAGGTAAGTCAATTGACGTGATTGTAAAGCTTCGTAAAGTGAGGTAACTAGGGTAGGTGCTTCTCAGAAATAGCCACTGCCTTCCTCAATCCGCAATCAGAAGAAAACACAGAATTAATCCATGAAGTCAGTGATTGTTGTTCTGAGGCATATGAGGTGGTATGCATCCTTGAGGGTTCAAGAACCGATGACTGGTCGGTCTAAAACAACATGGCTTAGCCTTTTGCACAACGACGTATAAACTCTCTCCTTATAGTTTTGCATTCATTGAAAATTATCACTACTTTTCAAACCTGTGTTTATTCGTTGTAGTGTTATAACATTCATGTTCTTTCCTTCGATATGTGCTTTTCGGTAATGTGAACAAATGAACGTTTGTCTAAGTTTTTATGCTGATCCATCAGTCACTCAATTAAACACTTTACAAAGTTACAATCAACCTAACCCCGATAAAACGAAATTTATTGCTTAAATTTCCCATGGAAACAGTAGTGCGGTTGCAAACCATGAATATGCTATTTATTTAGTTGAATTTTAGATTTTCCCGTCGATTGATTGGACCGAAGTGCTCGGTCTCAGGTTGACATGTCGTTGTTAAGTGATAGTTCAATAGCAGTAGATATAAATATTAAGAAGCTGTGGCTTGTTGGTCCAATCAATGGACGGGAAAATCTAAAATTCAATTAAATAATTAATACGACCCGTTGCACAAGAGGTGGCTCTTGTGGCCCAAGTGGTCTAGTGGATAACGCTTTGGCATTTGAAACTATGGGCACTGGGTTCGAGCCTCGGTGGGAACATCATCACTCACTGGGAAATACAGGTACATCCAGATGACGAGTCCCAAATACGACAAAATGCGCGTCCTTGATTCCACTGCTAGTCACCATCCACAAATTACATGAATATGCTACTTATAAAACAGTCAACCACAAAGGTAATCTATCAGTAAATCTTGAAATGTACATGAGAACGAATAATCTATTTAAAAAACACCTTTGACAAGGGCATTCATTCAAACATTCAACTCACCTAGACCAATAATACCAATTTGAATATTTGAACTTTTATCTACTTGATCCAATGTTGAGTCTCTAGACAAAATAACATCAGATTTCTGATGACTAGTAATAGTATGTTGAAATGAAATATCTTTGCTGTGATACTTCATGAGCTTGTTTGTTTTCAGCGAATGATTAGTTACAGTCTGTGCTGGTGAAGATGCTGGACGTTTAATTGTTTGACTTTCTTCCTTATTTGAATATAAATTTGGTATGTTATAACTTGTAGAAAGTAGAATACCAATAATGAAATCAGCTGTTTTGTTTACATCCAATTCTGGTGGTACAATGTGTACATTTACGTCTAAAATCAATAAAAAGGATGAATCAAATGATCAGGGAGTCGTACTGTGAGATATATATATATGTATGTTAAGCAATACAGTATAAATAGTTAGGACGCATAACACTGACTAATGAGTTAGTTTATTTTGTTCCTCTAATTAAAACACGGTTATACCCCAAGTTTTTAATTTAACATCTATTAGGCGATGCGTGTTTCGCCCTCTTCGGGACTCCTCAGTTGGAGGTGAGATATTAGGCATTTCAGTCTAGTAACAATAATCAGCTCGCAAGAAGACTGTTGAATAATAATCTTATCATCGAGATCATAAAAAGCTTTAATCACTTTACTTCATGGCGTGTACTACTGATAATATTTATCAGTAGTATACAAACAGACGTTCACCTGCCCAAAAATAGCAAGTAGCAGGTCAAGGAGAACAGTGGTTCATAGTGTTTAACGTACATCCCAGTCATCTCACTGTATGACTACTTCACTTACCTCCGTCACGCAAATCATAAGGGTTCTGCCAGTATTTGCAGGTTCTGCTGAAATTTCACAAGGCCATGGGTGAGATTAGTAACGCGATTTACTAACTACAGATTATGAGATTAAGAGAGATACTTATGTGTTCATGTGTTCTATGAGATGGATAACTTGTATACAAACGTTTCGTTGTCTACCTAGTAACTTCAGCAGTGACTGGAAAACGAAGCCAGTTTATACAGTTCAACACGAAAAAATAACCACCTTCCTAGATGACCTTGATTGAAACTGGTCGCATTCATCTGTCTTGATATTAATAGTCTCATTAACCTAAAAACTTTGCCATTAAACCATCCAGCTCAGAGGACAAAACAACACCTCTTATTACCAGTTTCTAGTTAACTAATTAGGGGGTGAATTTACAGCCAAAAATGCTGGGCGAGAGGGTGTTGATATTTCCAACTCAAATTAATATACCACTATTAACAAGAAATATATACACATAGTCAATTACCCTTATATCCAATATCCTAATTATCATTAATCCCAACTAGTTTATGACAATCTTTACAGAAAAATCTAACAAAACTTTCGAAAGTTCAATACAGTTTCTCATAGGTTAATTAGCCAACAGTTTTGCACTAATTAGACATTTTTGGGGTTAAGCCCTACTATGCAAAATAAAGTCACTGGATGTAGGAAAGACAAAACAAAGCGGGATGGATTAAATTACCAAAGAAAAATTTAACCCTAGTTCTATCAACAAAAAAAGACTATTAATTGCAATTATATCTCAAAAAAAAACCGCAAATATAAATAAAAATACAACTATAGATTGAAGTATTGGAAGGAGTTTTACCTCCAGGTGAATCTTTCTGTGTAGCTTTCCCTTTCAGAAATAGATCAACTCATAAAGTGAGTAAACTGTTGTGTAGATATTTCTCTTACAATTCGGATTCCACTCGAGCGATAGCCTGTCGTGTGATGTCACTCACTTGATGGTGTGTTTTCTCAGAGTATGGCCAATCCACCTCCATTTCTTCCTGCATATATGTTGCACAATTGGTTCCTGGTGGGTTGGTTGGCTCATTGCCAAAGATCCCTGTTGTTGATCTTTTCTAGCCATCTGATTTTGAGTATTGGACGAAGACAGCTCATGAAGAAGATCTGTAGCTGTCAAATTGTGTATATTTCAAAATGCTAAGCAATTAGCAAATTGTGAAAAATAATCTCCGTTTGCTGTATTTTACAATCGGCTGTTCCAAAATGTTGATGATTAGAATAAGAATACTAGTAGTAGTTAAAAGAGTATGTATCATCTTACAACCCGCATAAAGATTCCTCAGTCTAATAATAAAACTTGAGCACTGTGATACATTATTCACTTGATGTAGCTCCCAGGGATGCAGTACTATTTATTTAATTTATGGCGTTTACAATAGAACTGTTTCCTTAAAATCATTATCAAGTTAAAGGCACGACTTTCAAAAACATTTTTTATAATCCTTTAACACTTATTTCATCAAACATGTAATCGTTAACGAAATTATTCATGAAATAAAATTTGCGATTTGCAATTTATTTAGCTTGAGGTTAAACCGGGTACCCCACTGTTGAGCTCGATACGAAGTAAGCGAAACAGCTAGTCAGGTGTTTAGATCACTCTGATATCGCCAGCAACAACTACTGGTTGATGTCAGTGGTACCAAACTACTAATGTCAATCAATCAGTAGTATGCGGCGTCGGAAATGATTCAAGTGTTGGTGTAACTCAACTGGCGGAATACTGGACTACTAATTTAGAGGCCGCTGTTGGTTGAAATCTTGCCATGACCTAGACGTTTCACTTCACCAACAATCATCACCCATCATCACATGGATGACAGTCTACCAGTTCAAAACTAACCTAGACAGTCTCTCCATCTCACAACCACAGATTCGCTAATCAAACACTGAATGCATTTAATGGGAATGGTTCAACATCCATTGTGCATATTTAGTGAAGGAATATAGTGCTACACTTATGTGTAAACTTGTTTAAATTGCAATAAAATTTTGGCGGCAGTTTTAAATTGTACACACAAGTAATTAAAAACACTTCAAAAAGTTTTTAATTTAACTTGAAATGTTTAAAATTTCTTTTTATGTTGACAGAAAAGCAGGAATTGATCAGTCTCTCTCACTTGCTTTAACTGTCATTTCAATGAACTAACTAACTAACTAACCTTGTTACCTGATTTCAGTTGCTTAACGTTTCATAATATTCCACACAGTTAATAATAACAATAATAATGATAATAATAATAATCAATATGGAAAGAGCATAGATAATAAATACACTAGTTTATCACGTAACTAAATGTCTGTTTACGAATATCATTATCTCCTTGTCTTTGTATCTTCTTTTCTTTCTCTTTTCTTTTTGGATTAAACTCATTTGTACAAGTCACACCCGATTTAATTCATTACTGTATTTGAAGAGATAAACTAGTGGAAATATGGAAGTGAGGAAAGTGACTTACTAGATGACTATATACGTGAGGAAGAGAAGAAAGAAAGGAGGGAGAGAGGGAAGTAAGTTCACTAATGAACACATAAGGATGTGTATATTGAATTGGGAGAAAAGGTGTTTTCAAAGTGAAGAAAAAATTCTTCTCATTATTTCCATTCAGTGACTCACTCATCATCACATTAATACAGAGTGAAAAAGAATATTTATGTTTGTTTTGGATGTACTTATCAAATATGTTTATAATATGGATAAATGAAGCATTGAAATTAGTTAATTCAAATATACTCTTAAAGAAAACTAAATACTTTAGACATTTTTAAAAGAAAAAATTTGTTTTACAGTTGGAGAACAGTTTATTTCATGGAAAACAGTTGTTATGGTAACAAGACTACTGATTTCTCTTTATAACAGAAGAAATATTAGTGTGAATTGAATATTCAAGTATTGGTTTTGTACGGGATTTTGTTCGATTGGTTGGAGGACTTCATCATGAGCTGACATCAGTTAGAGAACCACTGGAAAACCTGAGAGTACTGGAGAGCTGTTTCGTCTTAGTTTGGGACTCTTCATCAGTACGCACCCTACAAAAACAATACTTGAAAATTAATCTGATGCTCACTAGTGACTGGCCCTATTCAGGCAGTTAACCTGGGGTTCTAGTGGAAAGCCGTGACCAGTAGGGTACAGCAGGTTGGAGATGAGGCAGTAACTCATCGAAGAAGACAGTGCAAAATGGTCGCGCTATGTCGTGAATTGGCAGAAGTTAGAATTCATGAGCTGGCCATTGGATCGGGTCCCAGTGACTCAATGGTCTACGAGCTCGCCTTGTAACCAGGAGGTCCCAGGTTCGAACCCTGGTGATGGGTGCGTACTGCTGAAGAGTCCCAAACTAGGACGAAACAACTGTCCAGTACTCCCTGTTGGTTTTCCAATGGTTCTCTAACTAATGTCAGCTCATGATGAATTGAATATCTTATGCAAATCATTAAGAAACTATGAGAGTATTAATTCAATGTATTCTAGAATCACTGTGAATTACATGCATCTTGACAAAGAAATATCAAATACATCACAGACAGTCTATTGACTGATTGTATTCTCTCTGTGACTGAGTTTAGCATACACATCTTAATGATTTATACTGGCTTTCAGTGACTATTGGGTTTCACCAATTGATACAAGAATGGAACTTGAGTACTGTGGTAGAATATTTAAATTCCATCATAGACTAGACTTATTTGAGCAGAAGAGAGAATGGTTCACTCACTCAAGAGAGATATCTATAGAAAACCTACATCTGTAGGACAATAATATACAGCTTTCCTCAGTTTTGTACCAATCCGATACAAAATCAATTTGGTTAGATGCCTCATGAATAGAGCAAGACGGATCTGTACAGATGACTCCCTAGAAAATGAGTTAGGATACATCCAAAATACGCTGGTCTAAATGGGTTATCCTAGTAGATTTGTAAGGAGACACATAAACACCAGGTACAATAAAGAAAAACTGACAACAGTTAAGAGGAAACAACTGTTCATGAATTTACAATTTAATGGGGACTTGGCTAGCGAAGTCTTACATCTGAGATTATCGAGAACAATAAAACGGACTTACACTATCTCTACTACCCTTTGTTTGTCATTTTCCAGCCAACCAATTATGGTTGCTCAAGCGAAATACAAGCTTCCTAGCTGTGCCACTTCTATGTGTATCTACAAATTTAGTTGCTCCTGTGGAGAGATCTATTTAGGGCAAACAACTAGACAACTCAAACAAACGTGTTAATGAGCATCTTCATTTATGGTTTGGAGAAGGTCAAATAAAATCAATAAGAAGTTCTATTTTGACTCATTAGATTGATAGTGGTCACCAAGTTGACAGAAGAAGTGCCTTCAAAGTTGTCTATCGCATTCCATCGAGCCTTTCGAACGAAATTCGAACCCGCCTTTTACACATAACCGAAGCTATGGGAATTCGAGAGAACAATCCTAGTCTTTGCATACAACAAAAGAAGTTTGTTCTACCTTTGTCTCTCCCTTGCCTGGCCTAGGTAAATTCTAGTCAAAACCCTCCCACCCTTTCTTATTTCCCGTTTCCTTTGTACCTTTATGATATTTATTTAAACTCTGATTATCTGTCCCCTTCACCTTTAGTATTGCGTAACTTTTGGGATTTGACTAAATTTATTTATTGAATTGTCTACATATACACATATTACTACCATGGTTATTCTTCTTATCGCCACCTGCATAAACCTTATTATCAATATTTTGTTATCGTTATAATTATCGTTATTAACGACGTTCAAAACATTTACCACATTATTATTATTTGATCCACAAAATCACCGTCATCGGTTAAAATTGTTATACATAAATCTATGTAAATTAGAGTAAAGCCTGAAGAATATCTAACTGAAAACAACAATATTGTTGGCTTACATTGTCTTGTTCTGATAGAAAGTACACAGGGCTACAGCATTCATTATTTAATGATGACATTTTGAGAAGAATTTATTGCTCATAATCATATCAAAGCACTCACATAACTTTCCAAATTTGCTTATATTTAATTCCATTATTGCCATATGTATCGAATAGGCATTGCATCATTCCTAGTGCACTTGTTACATACAGGTTCGATAAACAAAGATTCAGGAATCAACTTCTCCTCTAAACTATCTGTCTTCATGAGGTCAATCATTCTACACTTAGCTGAATTCTTACGTTCTAATAATCTGACTACCCACGATCTACTTGTTTGACCTCACGATCACTGCAAGGTATTTTATAGATTATATTACTTTTTCTGATGGAATGAATAGGGTCCTTTAGCTTACAAAGTGTATCCCTAAGTGAGTTTTTAGGTCTAATTGCCATTCTAATTCCTGCTTTATTAAGAATTCTACATTGGATTTCATCTGTCCCTTCTTTATATGGTTAAAAAGTAGATTCCTTAAATTCTTTCTTCCGCTACTCTTTTTGAATTCATTTATGTGGATGGCTTGATATTCCTAAGCTTGAATTGAAACTCCTCACAGATAAGCTGACTTCTTCTTCTAATTATTATGGAGTTAACGATTCTGTTGGATTCTTCTCCGAGATCAGAAACAGTAGATCAAATGTAATGGTACAGAGATTCTAATTCAGATATTGGAACTTATCTTATAAACCTATGATCACTTTTTGCTTAGTGTTTAGAGAACTATTTCACTTAGAAGTAGCTCATGTTATTTATTTAATTTCTGCATCTTTCCAGAATTTCTTCGACCGATAAGTTTATCCTAGTTCTCTCCATGAAATATGTGAGTTGTATTATAATACTAACAAAGTGTCAATTAGTCAAGTGCTCCATCCCCACTGTTAATCTCCTGCTCATTTCTGACTGCCTTCAAGATAAATATCGTGAACGGATGGTTTCAACATGCTGGGTGTCAACATTATACTCATCCATAGCATTGACGAAAAATGGCATTATGTCGTAAATTCTACGAAATTAGAATTCATGGCCTATGGATTCTAACCCAGTAGGTAAGTAGACAACATGACTGGTTAACAAGAGGGAAGTCCTCGGTTCTTTCCCTGTTGCTGATCCCCAAACTAGAGAAGAACGACTGTTCAGTACTACTTAGTTTTAAATGAATCTCTCAGCACTGTAGATTTCTGATTAAATCTACATCGAAATTATTTGTATATTTGGTTATAAAACAAAATGCCATTATGGGTAAATTTTATTTTGATAAAGTCTCACAGTGTTATACAGTAACGTTTCCTGATGACGACGTTTCGAGCACAATTTATTGCTACTCGTAATCATATCAAGGTAATCACACGACTTCCTAAATTCATTTATATAGTTCCATTGTTTTTCACTTGATTCTCACTTGATTTGATAGGTAGTAATATTTTCCATATTTTGGGTATGAGTGATGAATCATTCCTATTGGATGTGTTGGGTGTAGATTCGATGAACAAGGATTCAGTAATCAACCTCTCTCTCCACCTACCTAGATTACTTTTTAGAATTTTAACCCTATCCCACCCTATTGTGTGGTAGTGTGCTAATGCAAGCATTGCAATTGCTGAGCTTTTTTCTAAATTACTTATCTTCTCTGGGTCAACCATTCTTACCTTAGCTAAATTCTTATGTTCTGACAATCTGACTACCCCTGACCTACTAGTTTGACCTATGTAGTTGCCCTCACAGTCATTGCAGGGTATTTTGTAAATTATATTATTTTGTCTAATTGGGTCCACTGGGTCCTTTAACCTACAGAGCTTGTCCTAGCTGAGTGAGTTTGTAGGTTTGAATGCCACCCTAATTCCTGCTTTATTTAGAATCCTACGTAGGGTCTCATATGTCCCCTCTTTATATGGTATAACTGTAGATGACTTATATTCTCTCTTATTTATGTTATTATCACTAGTTTCACAATTCTTCTTATTTTTATTTTGACCTTTTTTAATCTTCCTAATGAATTTTAAAGTTATTTAACACTAACGCCTCTTCTATCTGTTTTATTTCATCATTTAGGTCTTTTTTGTGCTACTTAGTACCATTGCTCGGTTTGTTAAACACTTAACTAAGCCTGCCTTAACAGTTAAACGACGAGATGAATTAAAGTCTAAATATCTATTAGAATGCGTTGGTTTTCTATAAACACTAGTGTGTAGTTTGCCTTCTTCTATTCGTTTTATTTTACAATCTAACATAGCTAATTCTCCTTGCTCATTTTCGGCTTCAAATGTGAATTTTATTCCCTCCACTAGTGAGTTTCTGTGTGTCAAGAAGCTAGAGATATGTTCTGTTTTTAACACTGTGAAAGTGTCATCCACATATCTCCACCATATTTTTGGAGTAGGATTAAACGTATTAAGAGCCATATTTTCCCAGCTATCCATAAATATATCTGCTACGATAGGGGATATTGGTGATCCCATTGCTACACCTTCAGTTTGTCTATATATTTGCCTTGGAATTACACTCTACCACAGTGCCCAAGTTTTATTCTTATATCAATAAAACAAAATGCTTTTACGAAATTCATTCAACAACAACAACAACAAGGAAACTGAGATAAATATCGCCATTGTATAGCAAAATTCTAACTGTAAAACAATGAGTAGGAAAAAAATATGTTGTTTCCTAGTTTTTTTACTCACCAGTAGTTTTTATAAACTCACTCCAACAAGTTGTATACGCCAGATACTCAGGTATATAAACATTTTTTAAACACGGGAAATGTTGATCAATGTTCACTGATAATATATTCTCCTGATAAATGACTATATCTGAAATATTTTGACAAATCTTCAATTGGAAAAAGGAAGAAGAAATAATTGTTGGTTAGTATTACTATCATTATTATTATTATTATTGAACAATATCCAACATTAATACTTTTTCTAAGTTAACACAACCGTAGCTTCATTGACGAAGATTCACTCCATGTGATTCCATATCCTGTATACGAGCATATATTTTTATGATGGCTAGTCTTAGGGAAACACTAACGAATAAGTCTCACTTATCTATAACATCAGACATGCAGCAGATTCTATCATTTAACATTGTTTAGTTAGAACAAACGATGATATTATTATTATTTTTAAACATAATGTTACATCATATGAAGTGTGACAAACTATTTCCCTCTTTGTAAACAAAAAGGAAGTGTTTTTTATGATAAATATCTTGACAAAACAATATTCGGAGGATGAGTTCAATTTGTTTTATTTTTTACGAAAAAATTGGCGGCATGTTTAAACTACTCGACTACCTAGATTTCTTGTTATTTCAATCTTTCAACTATCTCTTTGGATTGTAACGTTGACTTTTAATTGTCCTTGAACCTTTCAATGTGTACTTCAAGAAGAATATGAAGAAAATGTGTCATCTTGTTTCAGACAGAATGTCTTTGAGTCATACAATATTCTGTTGACGAATACTTACAGGGAGTAAATATTTCGCAAGAAATTACACTAAGAGTTCTATATTCTGTTTCAATATGACTTTGAGAATAAAGCTGATGTTACTGTTATTGTGTTTAAATATACTACTAAAAATTATGAGTAATTGTAAGTCAGGCAAATAACTGTTTCGATTAGGCATTGTCACAAAGTTAAGCTATCATAGCCAAAACCACAGTGATCTAGAACAACCAATTACAGCTCAGATGCAAAAAGTCTCATAATTGTTGAAAATACACAAAAATATATCGCAAACTTGATATAACAGTGTACAGTTGTAGCTTATGTGTTGTAAGAATGTTTCCCAGTCAATACACAGATGATCTATTGAGAAATCGTACAGTGAGCGATATACCCACTCATCTAAGTGATTGTAGGTCATGGTACTTTGAGATCCACACTATTCTCCAACCTACTTCTAACTCCTAATTCTTAATTTAACCCTAAACTTAACCTTAAACCTAGACCTTAAACCTTAATCTTAAAAGCCAAGACCCTACCTAACAGCATACATTTGCAGAAAAAGTACCAAGTAAATAAGTAGAATACTGTACCTATCCTCTTCAAGTCTATAAAGGCAGGCACAACTTCATTTGGGATGATATTTCATAGCGTTCCTTGTGTCTAATCGGTTATTGAGGGCTAGCTTTTGATTTAATACACTTTAGTCCACTGAGTAAACTTCCCTTCAATATGTGGAAGAACTTGACTGAATACTAATATGATAAGTTAATTTCATGCATATGGACCTGAAGTATATGTATATATTACTGTTTTAGCTACAGATCTGACTAGTACCGTTTTGATGTTGAACTAGGAATCATAGGCAATAGGAGGGATATACATGTATATACGTCAAATATGTTTAATAAGACTATAGGGAAGGGAAACACTAGTACAAGCAGAGCAGTGTCTTAGTTAGAACTTCATAACTATCCCAATTCAATAAGTTCCTGTGAACTGCATTTTCGTATTTAACACTAACCCAAGCGCGTATCCTGACAGTGACATCCTCCTGATCCAGTGTGTCAGTGGTGAATTGGTAGAATCCTCGCTAATCACTCCTAAAACCTACTTAGTCTCTAGTAAGACCAGCAAAGAGGGAAGGTAGATCGTGAGGCCAGCAACTCTACTCCGTAAAACTGGAATAAGACCAGTGCTACTGAAATTCCAAAACTCAGGATTGAAGTGCTATATTCCGCGCGAAACTCAAAGAAATAAAAATTCTCAAGAAATATTAATTTTGATACCTTTTTGATTGCGTGTTTAAGTGAACAAAGGCTTCCTAAGTAACTGTTATTAGCTGTTCATCTCAAATCTATGTCAAGCAAATACCTCATGAAAATGAAAATGCATTTCACATTATTTTTAATATTTTGGAATTCTAATAAGTTCAAACTAAGCGTTCCAAGTTTATCGAACGTAGTGGTTTTATGGGCAGCACAGTCAACAACTTGGTTATCAAGACTGATATTTAAGGGTAATATCTCTAAAAGGAAATTGCTCTCCGATGCTATATTCATATTACCTACAGAATTACAGGAACTACTCTAAAACTAATCTACTTGATAAAAAATGCCGAAATTTCCACTGATTACTTAAAAATATGCTGAGGCGACCTTTGAAGGACATCATGCGACCCGCCTTCGAGTGGGACTCTAGCGGGAAACGACGAATTGGGCGTGTCTTAGGGTGGCATGGAGGAGATCATGTGGAGGGGAAATAAAGACTTATGGGCAATCGTGAAAACAGCTAAAAACGACATGCGGAGAACAGAATGAAGCGGAGATATGCTGCTTAATCGCTATATTCCACTCAGAACCCTGAGGAAATAATGATAACAAATACTTAAATATAATGATCAATGGACAAAATACACACCCAATTAGTTAATCTTATTCACACAGTTATTACGTCTTTGAAAACGAACAACCAGTCATTTATTTACTTACATATTCAGGTAGACTCATCAGTTCCGAGTATTCAACACAAATTAAATTGGTTAAATCACTGAGAATGGATAATTCTACAGTCAATTCGTTGATACCAATAAATAAAACATATTTAACTGTTGGCTTCAATGAACAGATGGCTTCTGCTGATTGGTTAAATCTTTCTTCTTGCTCTAAAGGAAGACAAAAAATAGACAAAAAAATTAGGGCAACGGCAAATACAATACTAAAAAGTCATAAAAATTAAAAGATAAGTAGATTGTCTATTAGTTAGAACGACATAAAACTGGAGTAATAGCAGAGCGATTCTTGCTTTGGGAGAGCAGTAATGTGTATGATTTGCAAAAACTTGTTTTGTTAGATGGAATCCAGAAAATAACTCAGACAATGTCAAGTGACAATTAGAAAAAGTTGGCAATGAAATAATGAAGAAGATTTGTAGCTCTGCTGGTTGTTTTTCATGTTGCTGTGTTCTCTGAGATACATAGTTTAATTGACAAGCCTTCATTCTCTTTCTGAACAATACCTTCAGCGCCAACTTCAGTGTGAACCATCCAGCATGGAGAATGTAGCATCACAAAGAAGTAGACAATGAAACCCCATTCTTCTTCTTCCATTCCTTTACATCTCGGATGAAACATAGGGGTTCAGGTTATAAAGTTGGTGTTGCCTTTTATGGAGTAGGGTCTCTAGCCTTACTCTAGGCCTTCCTTCCTATTACTGACTAGTTAGCCAGGTGGGGTTCAAGAGTACATCAGCAGGGAAATGAACCATGAATCAACAAATTGGTTAGCGAGCGTCCTGCCGCTGAACCACTGACGAAAGATAGAACCCAATACTTTTACAGAACTATTAAATTTAGTTTGAACAGTGGAAATATTCAGTCACTCTGAAATGAAGACCATCCTATTGTTCGTGCATATATTTATATACTTTTAATATCCCGCTGGATATCAAGACTACTGATCACTTAATTTGAACTATACCCTTGTTTCGTTTCTGATTTTTCAAAGTATTTTATTTGTTACTTCTTCTGGTACTAATTCTGTTCTAATCACCACATTATACGGTGTTTAGAATTACAGAATTAAGAGTATCGTAAGTTTCAAGTGATTTTATTTGTGTATATTTTGATACTGTGGCAAGAAAACCCAGTATATGAAGTAAATGAAGGTTTAATTTTACAGTACTTTTATGGGATATATAGACTGAACACTAGTCATGATGTTAATTCTTTTACTTTGTACTTTGAAAAATGCTGTTCGTATGGAAGTAAGTTTCTGTCTACTGTCTGCGAAGTTAGATAGTGTGGTAATCTCAGAACATGCTGTAGAATTCTGGACAGAAAATTTGTACATTTTTTGCTAAATGTTAAAAATGGACACATTGTGCATAACCTTCGTTTAATCGACTTCTTTATCAAATATGTATATAAGTAACTTTCGCGTCTAAATGAAAATACAGTCGTGCTGTTCCTCACTTCGTCTTCTCACTGGTTTCTACTGTCTACTTGCTCTGCTAATCCTCGTGTTTAATTCTTTGGAACTTACAGGAACATCTCGTCCTTGTCCAAACACTCTACCACAGCCGGTGAACAAATTCTGCTAGTGGATACAACTCAGCAGGGAATCGTATCCATCAATTTTATCGCTGATTTTTAGAAGTGGGCTATGACTGTATCTTCAATTAACCTTTGCCTTTTATGACTCATTTATCTGTATGTGTCTATAATATGCTGTCACAATGTTTTTCCATTATCCTAGATTTTTATTCTGATATTTCGTACATTTATCGACCCCATTGTTCAGTACCCTACAAATGTGACAAACTACTGTATTTATTTAGGCGGCCTGGTTGAATTGCTGGGCTACCACCGGACTTGCTTTCCACTAAAATGCTTAATTTCATCTGGATTTATCATTGTTTTAGTCGTCCGGTTATACCAAATGACCTATACATGAACTTGCGCTCTGATTTAACTTGCTTTCAAAGTAAACGCTGTGCAATTCTTCAACGAAACGAAGATATATTTCAGAGTATTAATTTACATGTAAATCTTGTATGAAGAATGGATCTAAATACGCTGAAATTTTTGTGCCATAGTCTCGCATATTGTCTGAAATAAAGCTTGATTTTGATTGGACACTAGTAACTAATGTGACGTGTCTAGTCCTTTTCTTTGGTGCAGACTGAATTCTATCAGTCAGGTTTGCAATGTGGCCGCCAGGCTAGGAAGTTCGCCATCACGGTGCACATTGATTTGATGATATTAGATGGTGAGAGGTGAACACCAGGAAGCCTTGGCTGACCTGGTTGGTACTCATCAGTCAGCAAGGCGTATTTGCAATCTTGAAGGAACTCATGTCCCTTCTGAGATTCAAACCTGTGTCACCCATTGCTGCAGTCAGAGATGTTACCTAGGTCAGACAAGGCTTCCTGCCGATTGCCTCCAACTATCTATTATCATAAAGCTTTGTCATTATTAAAATATTGAGTATTTGAGTAGTATGCTTATCTAAATATACGGAGTTATTCACTAAATTCCAGAAAGTTAGGATTTTTTTGGTAATAAGTGTTGATTGATTAAGTATATGGTGTGGTGCACTGTAATCTTAAATCATTGACTAGTAATAGGATTTATATAAGTATACATTCGATGTAATCGTAAACATACAGTGTTTTACGATACAGCCAATTTTGCATAAACATTCCCCACTTAGCTAACACTACACTTGACGTCGTTGAGAGTTGGGATGCACTGGATTTCAACACCTAGTAATTTAATCAGAGGAGTTAGTGATGTGCTTGTGCACTGTGGTAGAGTATAATTACATTATGAGTAAAATTTATCTTGATAAAGTCTTACATTGTTATACAGTAATATTTACTGATGACATTTCGAGCACTGTTAACTGTTAAGGCAGGCTTAGTTAAGTGTCTAACAAACCAAGCTGCAGTACTAAGTAGCACAAGAAAAGACCTGATTGATGAAATAAAACAGATAGAAGAAGCGTTGGTATCAAATACCTATCCTATAAAAATCATTTGGAAGATCAGAAAAGGCCAAAAGCAAAATAAAAATAATTGTGAAACTAGTAATGATAATGTAAACAAGAAAGAATATAAGACATCTACTGGTATACCAAATAAGGAAGGGATATCTGAGACTCTACGGAGGATTCTTAATAAGGCAGGAATTAGAGTGGCATTCAAACCTACAAACTCACTCAAGTAGGACAGGCTCTGTGGGTTGAAGGACCCTGTAGGTTGACCCAATTACACAAAATAAATTAATATCATTTACAAAATATCTTGCAATGACTGTGAGTTAAGTTAACTACATAGATCAGTCAAACTAGTGGATCAGGAGTAGTGAGATTGCCTGTTAGAACATAAGAATTTAGCTAAGGTTAGAATGATTGACCCCACTCACCAGGATAAGTAATTTAGAAAAAAACTTAGCAATAGCACTGCGTGCATTAACACACAACCACACAATACGGTGGGTGGGACAGAGTCAAAATTCTAAAAAGTAATATAGGTAGGTGGAGATAGAGAGAGACATTGACTACTGAATTCTAGTCCATCGAGTCTACACCCAACACGTGCAATCACTCATACCGGAAATATGGAAAATACTACTACCAATCAAATCAAGCGATGGAAAATAATGGAACTATATAAACGAAGTTAGAAAGTTGTGGGAGTACTTTAATGTGGTTATGAGCAATGAATTGTGCTCGAAACGTTGTCATTAGTAAATATTACTGTATAACACTGTGAGACTTTATCAAGATAAATTTTACCCATAATGGAATTAGTAATAAGCTATTTAGATTGCCTTAGACTGTGATGCTAGGTTTTGAGTGTTCGAATTTCTGAAGAGGCTTCACTTCGTTCAAGGCACATGCTTTAATGACAAGTGACAAGAAGTACGAAGCAAAGGTCTAGGGCTTCCTGCAGATAAATCAAGAACTCTCTATAGACTGTCTGCTAACAGTTTATCAAGTGTAATAAATGTTTGGAAATACTATGTGTTTTTTTAATTAGTAAAACCAAAGGTGGGTTATTTTTACTTAATGCTTATCTTTCAATCTTCTCAAAACCTAGAATAGACTTTACAGGGGATGGGGGAGAATACATCAGAAACAGTTAAGATGAAAGGAAGCATATTACTCAGAAAACTAGAATTCCTGAGGTCTTAGACGGTCTCCAGTTAATACATAGTTAATATGATGATAGGCAAAATACTAAAAAGGACTAATTTCTTAGATGATTTAGTGCCTGAAACACATTCACTAGTAATTATACACGCACGCACATGGTGTATACTTTCAGATAATCGGATAATCAGATAATCAACAAATGAGTCAATCTTTTGCTTCTAAAATTAAGAATTTTTCTAAAGAGGAAGACAGAAGAAGAATGAGGCCTATAATTAGACGCATGTATACACACAATTTACCCTAATTAAATGTTTGATCATCTACTCAAAAGAATTCTAAATTTTTCAAATTTTAGAATTAAAAAGAAATTGAAAAGACAAAAAAAATATTTTATCTGCTGGTGATGGTCATTATCCTTCTTCTTTTTTTCTTAAGCAACAGGAATCCACTTTGACTAAAGGCTGGCTTTCACATGCTTTGTTGAGATTTATTTAAGGAATCAAATAAATTAGAAGGAAAGACTGTGGCATTGAAGTTTAAGGGCTTTCTGCCTGTCTTTCCTTGTATCTGTTTTTTGTAAGTGATGAATTTCATGGTGATATTTGTTGGAATTTTTTCGTACTGTCGGGTAAAGGGAACTGAAATATGTGGTCTGTCGCTAGTAATAAATTTATTCTACTTATACTACTATTTGATATGAATGATTGGAAGCTCCTCATATCAACCAGTAGTCTTTGCTAGCCAGATGGCTAGCGATTTAAACATTGCAGCTATATTTGTCAATTATTTACCCAGATGTAAGACATCTACAGTTTTACCATATAAACAGGGGGGGACATCTGAGGCCTTACGTGGGATTCTCAATAAATTGGAAATTAGGGTAGCATTCAAACCTACCAACAGGTAGGACATGCTCTGCAGTCTAAAGGACCCTGAAGGTTGACTCAATTACACAAAATAAATTAATATCATTTACAAAATACCATGCAATGACTTCCAGTTAAGTC